TAAGCCAAAAATAGCCACCGAATGTTAAACTTTCAGATTTATATCTCTGGTTTGAGATAAAGCACAAAGATTTTTATTCCCTGAGTTTTGTCCACCCATCTTTGCATGAGCCTTTGGGTATCCTTTCTGAAACCCTTAACTCCTGACACACACCTAATTGCCTGGAGACAAAGTCTTCAGTTTCTTGGGGTTTCCTGTTTCCTTGCTGATTCTCACTTTTTTAATAAACTAGTTTATATTTATTTATTTCTTCCGTGAACAAGAAAGACAGTGAGACTGCACGCCAACAGGGTCCTGACACTGTGATCCACCACCAGCTGCCTTCCACCAGGCCTGGGTCGTGGGAGCCTCGCCTGCTGATATATTCAGTGAGATCCTCCCGCTGGAACTTAGAACACTCCCATGTAGGTCAGCCTCATAGAGCATTTTGTTACTGTTGTACTACCATCCAGCACCTGATTCTCACCTTTGGAAACAGAACAACACCAAAAAAAAAACTGCATGCACACACATGACCTTCAGTCATTTAATTAAAATTTTCCCTTCTATTGTTAGTATTCTTGGATTTTTTTCTTTTTTCCTTTTTTTTTTTTTTTTTTTTGCTATCAGGTGTGTATGCTAGCCAGAGATGGAGAGATGGAGAGAGAGAAAATGAGAAAGCACCCCTCTTGGAGGATGGTCACACTACACACTACAGTCCCTTCTCTTCCATTCTCCTCTTGGGATTTTAGGCATATATACATGCACCCAGTGTGTTTTCCAAGCCAGCAGGTCTGGGACTCAAACCAGCAGTTGACCTTATACCATCTGCCTTAACCATCATGCTACCTGAGTGGCCCTATTCTTGGAATTCTTTTATGCACTTGTCTTTAAATGATTCAGTCCTTGGCTTGAACTAAGCACAGACTTCAGTCTTAATTTTTCTGTGGCGCCCTTCACCCTCTCAAAGGGACCACATGCCTCAATATCTGATGTTTATAGAGTGTCATAAACAAGTGCTTCTCCAGAAGTCACTCTCAGACACGTGCATTCACTGCCCACCATCGCTGTCTCAGAACAACCGTGGGCATGGGTGTGCAGCCGGGTTGGAGAGGTACCCAGCAAGGAGGGTCAGTGACTTGGCTTCTCCCATGTGTCTTCAGTTACAAAAATGAGCTCTGTCACATCTCTTCTAAGTCTGTTGGCTTAGGTGCCAGACAAGTTTTTCCTTATGTTTTTTTCTTTTTTTCAAAGTTTTATAACAATAACAACACAAATCTCTGGTAAGGAAAAGTATCATACTTGGGCTTTTAGCTATTTAAAAGAACATCATTTGAAAATGGTGACTCTTTCTGGTTTGGGTGGGTTAATATTTAATAAGTGTATCTCATGAGCTCGCTCTTGCCATAAGATCAGTTTGGGGGCATATGGAATGCAAAGCATGGAGCGTTCTAGTTTCCTGAGCAGTCCCACTGGAGTCCTGTCTGAGATGTTATAAAGTGCGGCTCTGACGCTGTGTATTTCCAACCACGGAGAAGCAGCTTTACATCACTCCCTGGGGAGTCCTCCCAGCAGGAGTGGCTGAGGAGGAAAGCAGGGTTTTATGGGACAGTTTGAAGCCAAGGCAAATCAACTGGTCCTAGAGAAGGGAGGGCATTGAGTTCTCTTAGAACATTATTTTACAGGGACCAGCAGATAGCGTAATGGTTACATTGCTGGACTCCTATGTAGTCAACCATGGTTCGAGTTCTGGACCTAGCGGTTTAAAACTCATACTGGGGGACCAGTAGGTGGCATAATGGTTACGTCACTGGACTCCCACAGTTCAAGTCCTGGACCTAGTGGCTTAAAACTCACACTTCACGCATGTGCCTGCGTGGCCAAGATCCCAAGAGGAGAATGGAGGAGAAAGGACTGTGGCTTGACCATCCCCCTGGGGGGGGTGATATCTCACTTTCTGTCTCTTATCTCTCAGGTGAGCACACACACCCTGTAGCAAAATATCTCTTTAAAATAAACACAAAACATTATTTTACTGAGCTCTGTGTACCAGATCCTGGGGAGTACTTTGTACTTTTATCTGTTCATACCCATGGTCATGGACTTATAATAAGATCCAGTAGTAGCGAGAAGGTTCAGGGTGCAAACCCAGCACCTTCCCAGATGGCTCCTGCATCACAGTGGTGTTACCACTGTGCTATTTCAACTGACTCTGGGCTCCCTGGCAGGTTGGTTAATTACAGGTTATGCCCCTTAAAGATTTGTGAGGGGTTTCCTTTATGTCACACACAGCCAAAAGCTTACAAGTTGATTCTTGATTGTGCATTTGTTCAGTATTAAAAAACCCAAATTGAATGACTGAGGAATCCTGTTTGTCTGATAATACATGGCATCCTTTTCCCAGAGCTGCAGTCCGGGCAGGATGGTAAAGAGTGGGCCTTCCACATGGGAAGAACTAGGTAAAAGGCATGAAAGGCCGATGTCTTCTATGGAACCGAGAGGGACTAAGTGTAGAGTGTTGGGAAATACAGGTGGGGCCACATTGTGGAGGACCTGAATGCAGAAGGTCAAAGAGTTTCGATTTTGTTCTAGAAAACAAAACCTTTAGAAATGCCTTTAGATCTTGGGCATGTTTTGTGGCAGAGGAGAAAGTTATGTGAAGGGAACATTTTTAGAGAAGCAAGAATGTAGTGGACGTGACGTAAATTGGTCTGTGTGTGGTGACATACCTATCCCTGAGTTGGCCACCTCTGCACAAGTCAGAAGAGTTCAGCATCAACTAATCTATAGTTGACGCCTCCCCTTCAGCTCTGTCTTTGTGTCATTTATTTGAGCTGTTTTAAGTCAGAAGCTGGTGGCATTAATGCTTAAGACAGAAAGGAGGAGCTGAGGCGAGTGCTATCTGTTGACCTGATCTCATTGTGCACATACTAGACACTCTGAGTATCAAGTGGAAGAGAAAGTTGACCCCTGGGGAAATTTCCATAGGTTAAGGGCATGGTCGTCACCGTCAGATGGATTTGGATTCAGATCCCAGCTTTTCTTTATCCACCTCCCACTTACAAGTTCTGTGACTTGGGTAAAGTCAGTTGCCTTAGTTTTGTGACTGAACATGGTGATAATACCTAGTTTAAGGCAGTTCTGAGGTCGATTTGAGATAACATACGTGAACTGCTTTGAATAGCTGACTAAAATGCTGAAGGCAGGCAATATTCTTTTTTTAAAGAGGTTTTTTGCCTTAATGCTCACAGAGAGAGTCAGACACAGTGAGAGAGAAAGTGAGAAATCACTCTTTGGGAGGATGGTCATGCTGCAATCCCTTCTCCTTCATTCTGCTCCTGGGATTTTGGGCACACATGCACACACACCTGGTGTGATTTTCAAGCCATCGAATCCGGCACTTGAGTCGCGGTCGGCCAAGTGGGAGTCCAGTGACATAACCTCTATACCATCTGCTGGTCCCGTTAGTCGATACTCTTGATCCCTGCAGAGTCAGTGGAACTGAATTCTCATCTTTTGATGAAAGGAAAATTATCAATAGTCAATATGCAAATTTTTAATATGTCGTGTGTGTTAAAAACATTAGGCTTGTAGTCTGGTTATGTCTACCAATTTATTATGTCTGTTGGGAAAGTCATGACATATTTTTGCGTAGAAAAAACGGAAAATACGTCTTGACTTTCCTGACAACCTAATATTTGTCTTCCATGCTGAGTAACACTTATACCTATAATTAATGTCCTGTGTATTTTATATATACGTGTGTGTATTTTTTTTTTTAAGAGTTTTTGCTATGGGTGCGTGTGCTCGCTGGAGAGAGAGAGAAATAGCAAGAAGTCATCCCCCAGGGGCGTGGCCATCCTACAATTCCTTCTCCTCTATTCTCTTCTCAGGATCTTGGGCATGCACT